TCTGCACCAGCAAATACTGTGGTGAAGAATATGATCATTATGTGGGTTAAGTTACCAGTTTGGGCTCTAGGTGGGAACTAGTCATTTACAGCAAAAAGGCTATTTGAATATATCCATAAAAATTAATGGAACCACTTGGAGAGGATCCAAGTATCAGAAATTCACACATATAACCTGTTAATTTCCAGTCTAATTTGAATTCCATGACATATTGTCCTAATTACATAAAAACCAACCTTAATATATTTTTCATAGAATAGTAAATTTTCCCTTGTATTTACATTATGCAATACTGCACTTTTACCCGAGCAAAATCTCTACATCATTACCCTATTTGCACAGGTTAAAGGCATCGCTTAAGCAATATTTCATTCTTTATTCCTTTTCTTAAGGGTTATTTTAATCTTTATTCTCCAGAATTTTACTGGTTTTATTTAAAGGGAAAGGGTTCAATCATGACTCCAGCCAATAATATAGCAGGAATGAATGACCAGGAGGTGAACAGAATGTGAAACATGAAATAGGCAGGTGGTAGCAGCAGAATACAGCTTAAAGGATGTTGCTGCACAAAATGTCAAAACGAGCTTGTATAAGGTACTCAATAGCTGCAATGTATTGTGTGATCATTCAGGAAAATCCAGAGAGCACGTCTAAAACTGAGTCTTTCTAAGAGTTAAAAAAAAAACAAACAATTTGAACCTGAGCTTCATAAGCATGTGTGATATATCGCAGTCATGTCGTGTCGCTGCGTTTGGCATCAGCTGGAGTACCGGCAGCCAAGAGGACAGAGCGATCACAGCCCAGAACGCCTGCCTGTCTGGCTCCCGGGATGTGAGCAGGGATCGCTGCAGGGATCCCGCTGGAATCGGAATTACACACCTGGTACTTCCCGGCACTCACTCACTGACACCTTTTTCCATTTAAAATTCCACTCGTTACAAATAATAACTAAAAAGAAAGCTAGAACTGACGGGTTCGGCATCCTGCTCCTCTAGGTGGCAGGCTGACGTTGGGCCACAAAAGTGGCCAAAGAATTATTTTTTCACTTTGGATAATTCACTAATGTCACGTCCTGCTCCATTCGATCCTCATGTGTGCCACGCCCACCTCGTTACCCAGTGTTTATTCCCGATTGTATTCACCTGTTGCCTGTTCTGTTCACCGTATCCTGTCCATATTAGTCCGCGTCTCCCACTATCACCCAGATCGGTCATTAATGTTGTCTGACGTAGTGCCTGGTCCTGCCCCTGTCTGCCCGTCTGTGTGCAATAAACCCCGTTTGCCTGTCGGTCCGGCTCAGCTTGGCTGCTTTCCTGCTCGCCTAAACCGCGTCCATGACAACTAAACATACCAGTTTTTTTTTTTTTTTAAATAAACATTAAGCCTCAATTGAAACTATTACATGGACAGTTTCATATAGAATAAACACAGGTGAGAGAAAGAATGAGTGACAGTCAGTGAATATGGGGAATAACTGGATGACATAGTGACACAAATAGGAGAATTAATGGGTAACAGAGTAACTCATTGTCAGTCCCATCTATTCCTCATTCTGTCTCTCCCCCCTCCTCCTCTGTCTCGTCCCACCTTCCTAAGGGCCATTGATCTGTTGATCCAGCAGAGAAGGTCAGATCAATATGTAGAAATGGAGCCCCTCAAGTTGGGTGATGCAGCTCTGTTGCCTTTTCCCTTCAGCCATCTGAGAGGTAAAATGGATGTTGACACAGTGGGGGGGGGGGGGGGGGGGCTGGGAAAACTACAAAGGGAACCGCATGTACAATCATAATCACTGGCATGAAATAAGCACCATTCAAAGCCCGTCTGAATACTTAGGGGACACAATTTCTGTTTTTTTTCCCCCGTTCTATGACGTCTGTGGCGATCTGCTCGGCAGTACAGGCAACTCAGGCTACTGTACTGACATCTCCATGTAAATGCTATCAGACATATGGCCAAACATACTGCCTGGCATCTAGACCAATACACAGCCTCACAAATAACCTGACATTCTGCCTGATGCATGGTGCAACAAATCACATTAATTTAATTTAGCATACATCCAGGTACAAAGACACTGCATGTCATATTCTCTGACATACAGTCTAATGGACTCTGCTAGACTCTAATAAACCATTCTATCAGGTTACCAAAAAAGCTGCAAAACTCATAAGGGTTCAGAATATGTATCCATTCATTTTCCATAACCAGTTATTCCATGCAAGGCCATGATGAGTCTCAAGTCTATCTCAGGATGCAAAAGGCTGTTTCCTCCATTGCTGAATTCTTAAACAGATTACATATTCAACAAAGCAGTCGAAAATGTCTTTTCTAACCATTTCGCCACATCAGTCAATATTTTTTGTTCTTTGTTTTTTTGTTCTTTCAGCTGAAGATTCATTCAGGTACCACCATAACTACCACAGTTCCCACAGAGCTCAGGAATGACAATGATGTTTGGTATTGTGAATAACAGGAATTGCTAGCAGAAATATATCTGTTGTTAACTGCTTACTAACCAAGCATACTATTCAGATACTTAGAGTCTAGAAAAATAATAAATGATCTGGTTTATTCAATTTCTGTTCTCATACTTATTTAGAGGTGACCGCTTGTCCTGCCAATCTGTCGTGTTCAATTAAGGTATGAATTTCCTAGGTCTCTCAGGATTGGGGATGCATATGGCCAGGTCTGTAAGCATCTGATGAACAAACACAAAGCCAGAATAACACAATTATTTCCTTTTTGATTAGAGAAAATAATAAAAGCAGGAACAAAGCAGAAAATGTGCTGATTTTGTTAATCAACACATTTACCATATTCACTTGAATTTAGTTGTTCTGTTTTGATGTTTATGTAAGAGTCACATCATTCTAAATACCAAATTATCAGCTCTCAGGTAATGTTCCCCCATTCAGAGCAGGCCGTGAAGCAGGGGACACCAAGCATCGCGTGACAGGAGACTGAAGATTCCTTTTCAGTGCCAAACAGGAACAGCAAGTCATTGTTTTTTCTTTCAGTTACACAAATCTAACAAATTTTAACCTTAGTTCTTTTTATTCTCTCTGTTGCCTTTTATTCGGTCTTTTGTATAATGTTATTTGTCATGTTAATGTATCACAATGGCTTTCAACCCTATTGGCAATAACATACTGTAGCATCAGTCTTTAGTTATGTTTGTTTCAGTTTTTAATGATTTAAGAGTTTAGAACCCATCAATGCTGGCTGTCTATGAGTTGTACACAAACATATTAGCCAGAGATCTGAAGTGAATGGAACAGAAGAAAACTTTTGAGATTGGCTGAACACTTCTAGCCTTGGCACAAAAAATACCTTGGACCCAGTCATGAACGGAGAGCTACAGAACCTCAGTGACCTTATTCTGCTCAAGGAGAAAGCAACAAACAAGGACGACCATAATCGATACACAGTAGTGCCATCAAGGTTATCTCTGACCCTCCACACTGCAATACATCATTTCCATTTACATTTTCAATATGTATTGCTGATTCTTTGATTAAAAGACACTTTAAATTGTACCCAATTTTACAGCTAGATATTTTCGTGTAGCCATTGAAATTAAGAACTATTCAGCACTTTTACAACCAGCCAGAGGACATGAATCAGAATGCAACTCTGTATCCTTACTGAGCACCACTATAGGTAATGTAGTGGTTTATGAACAGTCAGTGATTATAGATAGCATATTATGTACTGTAACAATTCTAACAGTTCCTTGCCAGTCATTGGTTGATTTCAACATACCACATCTCCATGGTGACAATTACCAGAGAAGGAGATCATAGCTTGCATTGTTGTGTTCTGCTGCAGTGTCACAGAAAAACCTTAGGGAGGTAGAAACTTCTTCCTGAGTACTTTATGCATATTTCATTACAGTATACATAATACTTAACAACATCAGTACACAAAAGACATGATTTATCTTTCTATAATTAATCGTTAAAGAGCAGAGGTTTTCATCCTGACAGCACTTTTTAAAACTGTCACGGTGCAAAAAAAAAAAAACAGTAGAACCTGGGAACAATAGTGCTCTCTAAGCTAATGTAGTGCACAAAAAAGAAATCAATCAGCTATTTGTGCTTGTCATTAATATATCTACTGTGTTACACACACTGCAGTCTCAGTCGCTCACCCATTGTATTAGACACACTGAAGTCTCAGTCGCTCACCCATTATATTACACACACTGCAGTTGCAGTCACTCACCCACTGTATTACACACACTGTAGTCTTAGTCACTCACCCATTATATTACACACACTGCAGTTGCAGTCACTCACCCACTGTATCACACACACTGCCATTTTATTCACTTGCCCACTGTCACCTACTTACTGTATCGCACATTGCAGTGCCAGTCACTCACCCACTGTATCACTCACAGGAATCTCAGTCATCAACTTACTGTATCACACACAGCAGTACCGGTCACTCACCCACTGTATGACATGCACTGCAGTTTTAGTCAGTTTTACCCACTATATCATACACACTGCAGTTACAGTCGCTCACCCACTGTATCACACACACTGCCATTTTATTCACTTGCCCATTGTCACCTACTTACTGTATCACACACTGCAGTACCAGTCACTCACCCACTATATGACATGCACTGCAGTTTCAGTCGCTCACTCATTGTCTCACACACACTGCAGTTTCAGTCGCTGACCCACTGTATCATACACACTGCAGTTTCAGTCACAAATCACATTGTTTTTACTGCATTGGAGTTTCACCTATCTGTTGTATTATACACACTGCGGTTTCAATCACTTACCCTTTGTATCACAAACACAGTTTTCAGCCATAGCACCCGAAAGCACCTACAAGTGAATTTCCCTGTCCTGGCAATAGGGTTGCTAAGTTACACAATATTTTCCCCCAGGTGTGTATCTCTGCACTCATAAAGAGATGCCTCCCCAACACTCCAGAAATGGGTAGTTTAGTAGCTGACTGAAAATATTACTTTACTGGCTTACCTTGGTCCAGGGGTTTGCTTGCAGGACTCCATGTCCTGAAGTAGTCATCCTGCAAGAGGAGACAAAAAAGTATAAAGCCACCAATTCAGCACCACGCTCCTAAAACAGACGCAACAACTGCCATGGGTCCGTAAACAACTAGTCACAAAAATAATGTGCAATCTTAAAACCAATCAAAAAAGTAATTATTCGCTGAAATGTCAAGGAACAAATTGTCTCTATGTGCACATGTTCTCAATATACGCAAATAATCCCATATCCCCCGAGTAACAAGGAAATGATGTGGGGGGCAATCAGGTGAAAATACACTCAGGGGGATGGGGTGCAGTTTTGGCAGGTGGAGAAAGAGGAGGAGAGCAAGGAAGTAGAGTGAGAAAGAAAAGAAAGGGAGAGGGGGAGAGTGAGCAGAAAATGAGGCTTCCAAACCCAGTCTATTTCAATCCGCCATCCAAAAGGCCAGTGACTCAGGGAAAAAGCGGAGTAGCCCAAACACTGGGCAGCCTGTACCGTGGCACACATTCCAACTATTCGCTGGACACATCTGATGCAAAAGGCAGAGAATCATAAGAATTCCCTTGAAAAACACCCCACCCCCCCGCCAGCCAGCCAGCCAGCCCCAAACTCTAAGCGATCAGAGCAGGCCGTTCAGATAGGACTGCTGGCAGCCTTAGAAAGAAAAAAAAATCTGGATCCAGTGGCTTCATAGCACAGATTATCTCCATGTCACAGATGTGGGTTTTGTCCAATTGGACGACACTGACTCATTACCTGGAAGCGTTTTGTACGGACGTGGCCTTCAGTTTGGACCATTCAATCAGCCGTGTGGCACAGCGTGCCGCTAATTGAGCATGTAAGCCCGTGCTTAAGTTAAACGATTGTTAGTTGCCTTGCCTGGGTGTTTTTTCCTTTTTTTTTTTACGAGTAAGCTATAAGTAATGAGGCAAAATGTATTGTAATCCAGTAACAAAAGGCTGGGAATCACCGATTCTGCTCAGATTTAATTAGCTCCCGTGTCGCATGCAGCGGGGAATCCGACTCAAAGGCATGTATCCCGAAAAGCACAAAAAGGGGGAGAATCATCCATCCTGAAAGCATGGAGGGGGAGGCTTGTACACTGCAAAACCAGAGAGGAGACGACAGACAGATTTCAAGCGTGGGGGAGGGGGGGGGGGGATAATCCATATGTTCTGAACCAACATAACGGTGCGAGAGCGTATCCTGATTTTATTCACCTCCAAATATTTTACCTCAAAGCGGCAGTTAATAAAGGTTAATTAAAACGCAACACATTACATTTTAAAATATTATTGTCCATTATGCTGGAAACCCAGGAGAAGGAATTTACGCCAAATGGTTTTTGGCCGTTATAATTATTAAAACAGCACAAAGTGATTGCTACTTGTGCAGTAATATTCTACGGCTTGTAGAAACCTCCAAAAAGGTTAATATTCATTGAATTTTCTGATATGAGAGCCCTAACAGCCAGATGTATACACTCTGAATGAATGGTCAAGTACTTAAAAGATTTAACCGGCGAAGTAGTTTATCATTTCATTTTAAAATGTGTTTGTTTTACACACAAGTACGCAACTCTTAAACTGCAAATTTACATGGCCTGGAAGGGACGCCAGCTGATTGCAGTTGCACACACATACACACACAATCATACTCTATGGACAATTTAGGAACCAACATTATTTATCTCTGATATTTATTTATTTATGTAGTTGTTTTTTTTACACACTCACTCTTACACTGCATTTTTTATTCTGCATCTTATCATTGTAACTTTTTCCCTTATAGTTTATATATGTCAATGCACAGTGATGAAGTGGTTTTGCCAAAATCACATTTCACTGCCATTCTACTGTACACCTGTGCATGAGACAAATAAAAAGCTTGAATCTTTCAATCTTGAATCCACTTATGTCCTCTGCCACATCCATGATTGTTCTGAATTCCATCATTGTACTTTTACATTGTGTTTCATTGTTGTCGATGTCCTGCACTCAGTCCATGTACTTTATGCATATATGCAGTGCCATGGTGCAGGAAACCGTATGTTTTGTCACCACATGCAGGTTGCCGTGACGATTAGCCTCACAAGATTTCACCTTACTTGAACACCCATTAGCCTTACTGCATGTCTTCAGACTATAGTACCCTAAGAACATTTTATCTAAAAGACATCCATATTTAATGCCCTTCCTGTTAACAGGACATATCGAGGCAAATTCTTTGCGATATGGTGGGCAAAGATTAAATGCACAACCTACACACATTTTTGGCGCTTTGACCCTATGGGGTGTTTCAAATACCACTGCTACAGAAGTTACTCATGAAAGAGGCCAGGCACACATCTCAGAATTACTGGAGAGGCAGAGAAAAAAAATAATCTGTGTGTTATAGGAGGATAAGGGCATTCAGTCTAAGCTCTGGAATGGGTCTGATATGCAAGAGCAACAGCAGGAAATGAGCCTGTCATTCTGGAGTCCAAGGAATGGTAGATTATAGTTATCCTTGAGTAACAAACAATGAGACACACATTGTATAAACATTAGAGTCCAGCCAGATTAACGCTGACAGCAGTACCTTATTTAAAACTGTAGTGCTCGGATACACTCGAAAACCCTGGCTCCTGAAATTTGCTAAAAAAACAATTGTACTTCACTGTAGCCCAAAAACCTGCTTTTTTCTCCTTTGTGGAAATTTAATTAACAGAATTACAACAGTAGTATTACGTTCTACATTTTACTCCCATGGAAACATTTGTTAATAAGAATGTTAATCTTTCAGCCTGCCTGATTCATGGTGAGACCAACTGGGTACCCTTGGCGACCTCTACAGCTCAGGGCAGACTCTGATTAGCTGTTTGCGAAACAAAGACAGAACCACCAACCAATGACGTTCAGGAGCTTCATTGATTTTTTTTTCCTCCACCGATACAGGAGAGAAATATGGTACTTGTCACTATTAATTAATTACTGAAAACATAATAAGGACATGGTTTTGTAGACTAGCTATTGTGATTTTAAAATATATACGCGTATATACATAATTTTTTTTTGGCTTTTCACCAGCAGATAGAGCCGAAAGGTAGGAGCAGTACACATCAGTTTCAATGTGCTGAGCTTTCAGAAGCAAGGGCAAAAGAGTCTATTTGAAACTGTTGACATGATCCGCAGTGATGTAAGCGCTGGGCTGTGGGGGAGCGCCCACCTTCACATCTGTGCAGTGTGCGCCCAAGTGCTAATTAAACATGCTCCTTCTAGACCCGCAGTGGGGACTCTTTTCCCAGTGCAGGTTTCCTCGTCTGTCCCTTTCATTCCTTCACGGTCTGCAGACCCTGACTGCGTCCGTACTCTGTGTGTCCCAGCTACACTACCCAGAAGCACCCTGCTTCGGTGGTCACATCTGCCCTGATGACACACCTGGGACCAACTATCAAGCCAGACGTTCATTAATCAGGCCTCTACTTGCTCTCCATTTCAGTGTCACCTATTAACTGCTGCAATTAAAAAATACGGTCATCAATTTCTGTTGCGTCAAATTCATTAGCTCTGTACATATACCGGTGTTTTCCAGCCCCGATCGTCATAGCACACTGTCAAGCCAAACTCCTTAGATCTGATTAAGATATTAATCGAATCTGATGCAGAATCAGCATGGTGGCGCTGTGGATAGCATGGCTGTTTAACAGGAGGTCATGGGCCGAGTCTCCATTGGGCTCTATGTCTACTCCGGTTTCCCTCCACAGTCCCTAAACACGTTAAGGTGAATCTGAGGTGACAAACTGTGTGTCTGTGTGAATGGTGTGAGAGCCCTGCAATGGCGTGGCTTTTCCATGCCTTGTGCTCCTTGCTTCCTGGATAGACCCCGGGCCGGATCTACCTTCACAGTGGCCCCAGGCAGGCCCATAGCTAGAAATACATTGTGGGGGGGGGGGCAGGTCCCTTCCGTAGATTTCACACAGATTTCACTGATCTTTCTGTCGATTTCTGGGCTCCCTTGTGTCCATCTGGCATTCAAGAAAGTATGGGTGGACTTACTCCAATAAATAGTTCCCCTTACTTGATAATTTACAAAACATTAATAAAACTTAAATCATTAATAACACACCCATCCATATTCTAACTGCTTATCTTAGTCATGGTCACAGGGGGGCCAGGAGCCTCCCCCGGGCACCACAGGGCACATGGTTGGCATAGACACTGGATGCTATGCCAGTTCATTACAGGGCACTCACACGCACACGCCCACACACACACCCACACAATCACACGCTACAGGCAATTCAGAAATGCCAACTAGCCTGACTTTGGACTGCAAGAGGGAATATGAGTGACCCACAATGCCTCCCATCAATAATGCAAGTTTATTTTATTTTAATTAAACCGGCCAATACTTATTTGTTTGGGGTCTAAGTCATGAGTCATTCTTCATTTTTGATTAACTGAAAATAATTAATAACTACAGTATGTAAGGAGGAGTTCTGGCCAATAGTAAGCTGGGGATGGAGCGCTAGCTGACCGCGTTAGCGCTTTCAGGCTTGCAGTGCGTTTCATTTTACCTGCTAATCCACAGACCAGAAATGTATGCCTGTGCACAAAGGGAACAGGTTTGGTTTCAGTATTGGTAGTTATCAAATCAGACCCGCACAGCCCCCCCCCCCCCAAACACACATGGTACTCCAGCAATATCGGTAGGGACATGTCCTTACGGTCCATACTGAAATCTCTGCCCTTGCCTGAGCAACCCTCTTTCTTATTCACACGGAAAAACTGCAGGTGTTTATGCATCTGTTCTGTAAATAAAGATTCGTGTTTCTATGCTCCCTTCTTGAGTCTTGAAATTCGTTGAGGGCGGTCCCGGTACATCGTAGGTGTATTCTGTTCGCCATCCTGACAGAAGATACTTCTCACACTGAAGCACTCATTTTGAGGTCTTTAGAAGAGTGCTTCCCAATCCGAACCTCGGGGACCCACAGACAGTGCAAATTTTTTTGCAGGAGCTGGGAGGGAGCAAAAACATGGGAGGGAGCAAAAACAT